CCCTACTAACAGAAATATACCTTCTCTCAGGAATCCCTTTCTCTCCCCTTGCTCCTCCCCAAAATGTAACATTCTACAATGATCCATAATGTAACATATCAAAAGAAATACTGCATGATACAAGCACAAAAGGCAAACCACAGGACAACAGTTACTCAGGAAACCACCTCCTAGTAGTGTGCTGAAACATGCCTGACATTTAAAAATAAACATTTTAGCACTGAGCAAAATTCCATCCCGAGGCACCACAAACCAAGATGAGTATTTCTACATGCAGAGTAGGTAATGTTCTCCTCTCATCACTATTTACTGTATTAAATGGCCTTTAAGTGTATTACTAATTAGACTACCCATCACAGATGGCATTACAAATTATTGCTACCCCTACTCAAATGTATCTTTATCCTTGTATTTTTTTCTTCTTTTCTTTAACTTTACACTTCAAGGATACCTATGTTTTGACAGGTTTCAGAGGAACAGCCGTGTTAGTCTGTATTCGCAAAAAGAAAAGGAGTACTTGTGGCACCTTAGAGACTAACCAATTTATTTGAGCATGAGCTTTCGTGAGCTACAGCTCACTTCATCAGATGTATCAAATGTTTTGACAGTACTTGATAAAGTCCTTCAGAGAACACAGGCATTTTAGAAGAGGGTTTAAACAGGTCAAATATTAAAGAAATGATTTCAAATTCCTTTGAAAATATTTTGTGCATAAAAACTGCTTGTATTCTTATGGGGACCGATCTCTCTCTTTAATGTACCTTTCTGTACCACCCCGTATAACTCAGGCTAGGATCAATCATTTTCTCTATATATTCTAACCATCCTCGAGATGATGCACCAAGTTTGGTCTTTTTAGGCATATTAATACAAAACTGTTTTATTTTGTTTAAACTGCATTCAAATTGCAAAGTTCAGATCTCAAAAGTGAGGATATGCCAAAATTAAGGTTGCCACGGCAACCTTAATTTGGTATTCTTGTGTATATGCACTATGATAGAAAAGTCCCATATGATGTTGGGCAAGACTCACAACAGTCTCCAAACTGCCTATGGACTTCTGCTGCCCAGAGTACACTCCAACCCCTCTCATGCTTGTATGTCAGGGTCAGGTCTCTCTATGACCAGCTCCCAGCCCTGTCTGTCTTTGTGTAGACTTCCACCTCTCCAGAGCTCCTTACCCTTCCTCTTATGAGTTTTAGAAAGCTCTTTCTCCAGCCATCAACTCCTTCCCAAGGTTTTTCTCCTGGACCCTCTACCCTAGCCAAGCCTTTTCCAGAATCAATGAAGGTCCTGCCCCCTTCCTGATCTCTCTCTGCTATGAGTAGTGACCTCATCTGCCTTCTTTCCCAGTATTCCTTGCTACAGCCTTTAATCTCAGCTTCCCCAGAAATGCAAGCCCAGAATGCCTTGCTGCTTCAACAAAGTCAGAGTTGAACTGAGCCATAAGCTAGCCTTAAAGGGCCCAAAACACTGACTTACAGGTCCAAGGATCCTCTTGTGGTTTTGTGAGGGGCAGAACTAATAAGGAGGAATAAAATACCCAACACTAACCTTACCCAGTGTCTGCCTGGGATGGGGGCAGGATGAGGTTTAGCTAGTTGAAGCTCAGTCCACAGAAGAACTGAGGTGATCCTGGTTGACAAAGGCATGTGGATAACACCTGTCCCTTAACTTGAGGTGTGTGTCCATCTCTTGTTGTACAGGTTTGAACTATATGGAACCTAGTTGGAAGATCAGGTTTCAGCCATATTCAGGATGTTTTTTTATCATTTATGCACCATTAGGAGGCTGTGACGGTTTCTTATAACTGCAGATATTGTAACAGTCTTCCATACCTTTGTCAGCTCAAGATTACATTGCTTGATGTACAGCAACATCTTATAACCAACTGAAACTGAACTTGGTGCAGGGTTCAGGTGTCTGTTTCTCATATGGGAGTATCATGCAGTGAGTCTATTATACCGGTATTCCAGGATCTGCACTAGTTGCAGACTATTAGTTTTCAGGTGAAATTTGAAAAGGTGTTTTTGATTTCTAAATCTCTACATGCCTGTTGACCTTCATACCTGTGGGACAACCACTCTGCGCTGACAAAGCTTGAGTTGAAGCACTTGTAGTATAATAGAGGGTGAGCTGCTGGCAAGGTGTTCTCTGTGAGGACATTTCAGCTTTTGGTGTTTCTCAGCCCTATTTAAAGAAGTCCAAATTTTATGATCTTTAGGGCCTGTTTCAAAGCTCAACTTTTCCCCCTAGCATTTGTGAAGGTGGAGAATTTTGAGATGGTTAGTGGCAGAAAAGGGGGGGTGTTTCAATATTTCATTTGCCTGTCAATTGCCAAAGTTAAGTCATAGTGATTAGATTTTAGATATTTTAAGTTCTATCAAGGGCACCGAGAATGAAGAAATTGGTGCTCTTTTTCCTTTGTATAAATCTAACAGACAAAATAAAACACACCAATCCACCCTGTTATCACATATGCATACCTAGATGGCAATACGAGTTCTGTGCATTTTATGTTCCTAACTGCAAACTAATATCTACTTTAATACAGATATTTTCTAACAGTCTGTACTTGAGATTTTCTACCATGAATTCCTGCACTCCCAGCAATTTCACTACAGCACGGGACAGAACAGAATCAGAACGTTTACAGTCAAATGCTTTAGAAGCCTTTTCAGTGCCCCCAACAGTATTTATTAGGCATTTAATAAAGTGGGCTAGTTACAACACCTCCATGTAAGCAAGGGTTATATGCTATCAAGCAGAAACTCACAGAGGAATAAGGGTTTTTAAAAATTTATTAGTAGAAAGCAAGAGCTCCAGCCTTCAGGTTACCACTGTTTTCACAGCAGGGACTCTGGATCCAGATAGTTAAAGCATAACCCAATTCTACCACAAAAGAAAAGAGTAAATACCCATGAAGTATTGATTGCATGTACATACCTCATTTTAATGTTCCAAGGCATGAGGGGGGAAGGAGGAAGAAAACAGCGAATCGCACACTATACAAATTCCCTTTTCTGTGCAAATGGCTGCCTCAGTTTCAGAAGTTCTTCCTCAATAGATTGTTCTAGTCCTATTCAGTAGAACTTCTCATATTGATTGCAAACAAATAAATAACTACACATTTCAAGTCTGCATAGCCATTCAGACTCTGCAGTCTCTGGGATCCAATAAACTGCAGTTCTCCTGCTAAAAGAGCTGCTGGATGCCAAATGTGCAACCAGGCAGCAGGGGGTCAGGCGCCCCCGACAGATATCTTGACATGTGGATCTACACACAAAAAATGTCCTCTGGGCCTCCCATAATCTACTGGCTCTGTCTTTACTTCAATCCAGTGCTTCTCATTGACATCCACAGAGGCATGCCTTTTTTGTTTTGTTTTTTTGTTAAGTACACTTTACGGTTGTTGAGGTGCTGAGAATCCTCACACATTTTTAACATGTTCATCCGCACTATCAACAAGCTATAGAAGCAAAACAGAGGGCAAAATTCAAGACTCCTCTGTCAAAGCAGCGCTTCTTGACTGTCTCCTGCTAGGCCTTTAAGCGTCTGCATCCTCCAAAAGTTGTGTCATATTAAATTTGAGAGAGAGAGAGAGAGTAGTTCTTAATTCCTTTTAAGCAAACTATGCAGTTCAATTACAGTTCTTTATAAATACACAGCCATGATAGTATTTTTTCCAATTGTGATCATCACAGTAGAAGGTTTTTAATTAGTAGAAGGGCAAAAGTTATATCAGTAAAATTCTGTTTGTAATACTGACTGATACATTTAGAAAGAATGATCACTTTTCACAGTAAATATGGTCTCAAAGAAAGCACTCTCTGAGCATAGTGATCCAGTATCAACAACTTTCCCGTAAGAATTTTATTCTGTTTCAAACATATTGCATTAAAGAAAGCTGTTCTCTCTGAATATCTGTGCAATATAGCTTTTCTCCAAATCATTCATTTTCTTTAAACACATCTCTGACAAAAGTGATATTGTCCTTTGACACTGACTCAAGTACTGGCACATTCTCTACCTGGACGTGATTCTAAAGGCAAGATTCCACATGGCCACAGACTATTTGGAAGCAATTGGTACCATTTTACTCTGTCATAGGAATATGCTGATCATGTGATCCTGTAGCTCATCATCCAGAAGAGGAAATTACAGAATTCAGCAAAGATCTGAAAACGAACATTTCCTGCTCCTTTAAGCCCTGATCTGCAGCCGACTGTAACTGTAACATCTCTGACACAGCTCCATAAACTATCTTCTCAACCTTAATGAGGTTGCCAAGCAACTAGTCCAAGTTCAGAAGAATCTGGGAAAAGATACTGAGTTCTCAGCAAGATGCAGCTATATAAAAATGTAATGGCATTCACACATCTGTGTGTAGCCTGTGAGTGCTTGAAAATATTTACCAAATAAACTGACCAAAAAGTCAGAAAAATATAAGGTTAACTCAGGGAAATAAAATACTTCAGTTCCAACTATGTTTTTAACCAGATTACGACAGAGGCCTCTAACAAGATGCATACATTTTGAGAGTTCCTAAATTCTGCAGGGTACATAAATTAATGGCTTCCTCTGAAATAAATGTGATGTTCTTAATAGCAAATATACAAGAACTTATGCTTATGTATGAAATGATTTAATGATGGAATACACCAGAAGTATGTGTTTTATTCCAGTATTTCTGAAGATATGTCAGTAACAAAAATCAGCCTTAAGAGAGTATGCCTGTTTGATCAGCTTTTATTCACTTAAAATCAACTCTGTAGTAACTTCTTCATACTTTAGGGGGGAATGTGTCGCATGAACACACAACCACAAGTGACAAATAAAGTACAGATATCAATTAGACACTGCCACCCAGCCAAGTGGGTCAGTCCATAAACCTAGGTTGGGGGAAGGGCCAAACAAATATTTAGAAAAAGGGGGCACAATGCATATGAAACTGTGCTGTGCTGGAAGGGCCCGTCCTAAAGGCTTTGCATGCATGCTTACCAGGGCAGTATGCATCAACGTCCAGTTTCTGTGCTGAAGTGAGCGTTGGTGAGCCAAGCTCAGACTCTGGGATTCGAGGGCTCTCAACAAACTTTGCCTTCCTCAGGGGGGCTAAGGAGAAGGAGGGGGAAGAAAGAAAGAGAGGTCAAGAGTAAGGGAAACAGCAGGCAACAGATGGAAGCACTTAACTAAATGACACACTGTGTCGGACTCATATTAAGTTACCCTTTATTTTGTGCATGCCAGAAAAAAAAATGATCTGCATTCTTCACAAAGGAGATGGGCTTGTTCAAAAGCTACAACAAACTGCAAAGTCTTACTTTAAAGTGTGCAAGCACTGAAGCACAGTTCTTGGTTGTCTAAACACTGGCTTTTTTCCCAGCCCCTCTCTAAAATTAATCTTTTATGAGGAACAAATGAACCTGGATTCAACAACTATAGAAAGGCTAAGATCATAGAGAGGAAAACAGAGCCTGCTAAGTTTTAAGGCATTTTGAATTGTTAAATAATTAAAATGCTTCCTTTGAACAGAAACTTCAACTTCAAAATATCAGTGGCACTCAGTATCTTCTGCTCTAGGAAATTCAGTATTAAATATGAGTTATCTGACTACATAGCTTAAGAAGGAAATTGATCATGTCGCTTCTTAGCCTTGCAAGCGCAGGAGGTCCAAGAGAGTTAAAAGAAAGAAGCAAAAATGTATTTTTTTCTTTGGCCAAGATATTGCCTGAGCTGATACTGTAAGGAAACATTGACTTTTACAGCAATGTGATTTTAGCAACAAATTTGAGCTGCGAGCACTGTGAAAGGCATTAGGCTTTAGGGTGTTTGTGTGTAATGAAATACAATTTATAAAAACACTTTCAATGCTGAGTTTTTAAACAAAAATTCTTGCTAGCCACTAGAAACAAATCTAGGAAAATAGTTAATATATGCAGAAATTATTGGATAAAGTTATACAATATTCAAAGTGGAATTATTATGAAAATTACAACTGAATGGAACTCTCACAAATCCACTGACGTCCGAGTGTAATCTGAAAAGTTACTTGGTCACCAGGTTTAATGTCTCAGCAACTCAAATATCCTCAATTTACAATTAAAAAGATTCTTTTATACCTGCCAGTCCTGCAAGTTTTAAATCTGGGAATTGAAAGTCAAGCTGGGTTCTTTCCTTCTCATGTACTATCACGTGTAATAAAGGCTCTACAGGTCAAATAATACCCGTAATGGCAGCTATGAATCTCATTGTTGCTACTGCATGTAACTGCAGGGTTAACTGACCTCCTGCGTGACTGGAAATTAAGTAATGGTTCTGCGGATGCAAAAGAAGGAATACAATCCAGCTCACTTTCTCTAACTGCATTGTTTCTACAGTACTAACAGAAAGAAAAAGAGGAAAAAATTACATTAAGCACAAAAGCAGAGAGAGCTATGAGACAGAATACATGCAGGGGACCAAATTCTGCTCTCTGTTACATTGCTATAAATGCTGAGCAACTCCAATGACTTCAGTACAATTACTCAGAATTTACACTGGTGTAACTGAGAACAGAATGTGTTCCAGGGGAGTTGAGCTGATGACTAAGAAGGTGCCATTTCTATACTGTCACTTTTCTGAATACAACCACACATTGGGTGATACTGAATATATGTACTACAGTCACTCTGGGCTCCTAGCATATGCTGTGCAACACAGCCCACACCATGCAATATGATAAGTTTAAAATTCCAAGTCATCAGTATGGAAATGATAAAAATTCCATCAGTTAGCTGAGAGTTTGTAAAAACAGCCAGCAACACAAAAATGGTTCCCAGAATTCTACTATGGTGATAGAAGAGGAGACTTTGATGAAAACAGGTAACTTTGAGGAGAATACTATTGTAACATTTAGAACCAACCCAGATAATCATCCCACACAGATCATTTTACTAATATTGCAGCTGTAATTGTTCTTTCACAAACGCATGTACTGAAATTTAGGTTTCATTCCACTGAGGAGAGTCCAGTAACATTATTCTTCCTATTTACTAAGATTTTGTATGGCATACAACACATCCTTAGATGAAATAAAGAATACAAGCATCATTTTGACACTGTTTAAGTAAACACTGGAAGGATTTTAATACAGCTTATAAAGAAGTAAAGCTTGTCTTTCTCTCCATAATAGTTTCTGGCTAACCAATTTTAGAGCCAGGAGTTATGTAAAGCTACATTTACCTGACACTAAATAAAAAGGAGTTATTGCAGCACAGCACATATAGCAACCTCACATAAAAAGAAATGATGTGCCCCAACTGCACATTCATCAAGGAATTCAGGTAGCATCATAAATCATAAGATTGAGGCTTACGTGGTTACTTTGTGTCATGAGGACCGCAAGACGGAATCACTGATTTAATTCTTGTACATTTGTGGGGAGAGGAAGTAAAATACACAAATCAAAGCATTCTTTTCCATCATTCATTGTGTGTCCCTTACCCTACTTACATCTGCTTTCTAGATCTCAGAGGTCTCTTTCTTTTATTAATATATTTATTTAGAGTTCAATCTTATATAAATTCCATAAAAACAGATGCACATGTAAAGTGTGTTATGACCATGACATGCATTTAAAAATGTTTTTTAAAATTTTGCCCTTCTCCACAACTCTGACACTCTGCGTCTTGTCAAATTTTCATCTTCCCCGCTTCCTCATTTAGGGCCAACTCAGGAAAATATATAAGTACATGTATTAGTCCATTCCTGTTCTGAACATTTATGCATAGGATTATGTCCCATTGACTTCAATGGGATTTAAGCATGTACTTAAGTGGTGTCATGAACAGGGATGCTTTCCTGAATCAGGGCCCAAGGAAGTACATTTTAAAATATGTTCCATACAACATATAAAACAGGTTTCAGAGTAGCAGCCGTGTTAGTCTGTATTCGCAAAAAGAAAAGGAGGACTTGTGGCACCTTAGAGACTAACCAATTTATTTGAATATAAGCTTTCGTGAGCTACAGCTCACTTCATCGAATGCATCCGATGAAGTGAGCTGTAGCTCACAAAAGCTTATGCTCAAATAAATTGGTTAGTCTCTAAGGTGCCACAAGTCTTCCTGTTCTTTTAACATATAGAACAGTTAGTATTACATCCTTTTCTTGATGTCATATCTTTATTTCACAGAGTACAACTCCCTACATTGCTAACAGCAGCGGTGTGCCTATCCTGGATTAAATATAAATCAAATCTTGTTAACCCAACAAAGGGGTAAAAGTGAATCATCAAAATGACTAAATCTCTCCTGCTTATATTGAAATGAACTTGGTGAAAAGTGCTGGACTGAAAACAAGGCAGCCTGCAGTCCTCTATTCATCTGAACAAAAAAAAAAAAAAAAAAAAAAAAAAAAGCAGTACAGCAGCACTGCATGCTACTCCCCATCCCGACTCAGGAGCACGCTGCCACTGTACCTCAGCCTTGGCCTGGAGATACGACTAACGGAGGCCGGAGGGTAATACTGTCTCTATGGCCCATTCAATGCTGATTTTACTGAAGTGGATCTCAGTCTGGAAATAGACTGGGAACATGAAGTGCTGTCAGATTACTTAGGTCACTGCTACCCTGGATTGGATTGGATTGGATTCAGTGAAAAGAAATGAAAGGCTTTGTACCCCATTCCCAGTTCCCTGAGCCATCTGGTTTCTGTGATTCACTTTTTGTGGGGAAAAAAATATTAGTCATAACTATTGCATAATGTCCACATCAAATATAATTCTGAGACAGAGAAACTGTACCATGTACGAACGGGGCAGCCATAGTCAGCCAGATAAATATGAAAGTCCTGGAGCCATTTTAAATTCAATTTCTTCAACTAAAAATCTTGAAACTTTCTTGATTGTAAAACCACATGTAACTGCTCATCCCTGCCTATCCCTCAGTGTACTGAACTCGCCCTTCTTTACATTGAACAGAGGAAAAGAAAAAGAAAAGGGAAAAGGAGGGGACCTGGGAGGATGAAAGGTTGTCACAGATGGGAGACTAACTGAATTTTACTCTTTCACTACAAAACTATAAAATTCCTTAACAGACCAAACTTGAACAAGGTATCCCCAGAGGGGTTGCAGTAAAATTCTCTCTGACATTCAGACAACATAACTTGAACCAGGACAGAAGAGTTTGGTCAAGCACCTGTGCCATGTCTTACGTGCCTTTCTATTATTCACAGTGTAGTTTCGACATCTGCTAAGTTGAGGCTTTGGTCACAAGTATGTTGCTTCATGTACAATTTAACAGAGATGTGTTTGCACCCTTTATTGGAAAAGTTAGTGCCCTTTATGTAGATATAGCTATAGCTGTAAAGACACTGATAGATGTTTTTAAAACCACTGCCCAAAATGAAGTAGCCAATTGTAAAGCGATTTCTTTAATAACTTTCAGTGACTTAACCAAGTTTGAAAAATTGCTTCTGAAAGATATGTCCTCGTCTAGAAAATCCTTGCTAAATTCATTCAGCTCTAAGGAACATTACAAGGGATTCTTTTCTCTAAAACAGTCACATGGTCTTCAATCTACATGTCTTCCTCTTTTCCTCCTCCTTTCTTAACTAATTTTACAAACTTGTGATATTGATTTCTGTTCTTTTCCATTTCATATTGTATCTATGATTTGATATCTGTTATTGGTATGTATTGTAATGTTGGGCAAAAGAAAAATGCAATATCGCTAATTAAAATAATATCTATTGTTTATTCTATTGTTAATATAGCATGAATAAAAAGTCACACTTATGTCAGTGATCACATACAATTGCTGAAAGGCTATATATCATATAATTAAAAGCAATTCTTTGATGCCTGCCTATGATTTTAGATTAAGAAATAGAATGTGTACAAAGGGTAAAAAATAAAAGATTTCAAATACTTAAAGAGAACATCAAATCTTCAGTGAAATCTGAACTGAGCACTTCTGCTTAAAAAGTGTCAATAAAAGCCTGAAGTACATATTCATAATTGCTTTAGAAAGCATACAAATATTTCAGATTAAAAATTAAATCCGGTAAGAAAAACAGAACACAACAAAAGAACAATTTGTTCACAAAGAGAAGGAACCATTTGCTATTGTAAATTC